AAATGAGATATGAAGAAAGGCCAAAATTCAAAGTTTAATACAGAAAAGCAGCCAAAGCCATCTATCACCTCTTGGCTTTTTAAATGTCAGCAGCACTTGCAGATGTTATTGGTGAAAAATCACACACGGCAAATGTCACAATGTAAAAAAAGAAGACTATTAAATGCTCTAGCACAAACCTAGCGAGCAGCATTGGTGTCTATTTATCTATATACACTCACCGGCCACTTTATTAGGTACACCTTCCTAGTACCGGGTTGGACCCCCTTTTGCCTTCAGAACTGCTTTAATCCTCCATGGCATAGATTCATCAAGATACCAGCAATATTCCTTAGAGATTTTGCTCCTTATTAACATGATAGCATCACGCAGTTGCTGCAGATTTGTCAGCTGCATATTCATGATGTGAATCTGCTGTTCCACGACATCCCAAAGATGCTCTATTGGATTGAGTTCTGTTGACTGTGGAGGCCATTTGAGTACAGTGAACTCATTGTCATGTTCAAGAAACCAGTCTGAGATGATTCGTGCTTTATGACATGATGTTATCCTGCTGGAAGTAGGCATTAGAAGATGGGTACACTGTGGTCATAAAGAGATAGACATGGTCAGCAACAGTACTCAGGTAGACTGTGGCGTTGACAGGATGCTCAATTGGTACTAACGAGCCCAAAGTGAGCTAAGAAAATTTCCCCCACACCATTACACCACCAGCCTGAAACATTGATAGAAGGTAGGATGTGTCCATGCTTTCATATTGTTGACGCCAAATTCTGACCTGACCATCTGAATGTGGCAGCAGAAATCGAGACTCATCAGAGCAGGCAACGTTGCTCCAATCTTCTGTTGTCCAGTTTTGGTGAGCCTGTGTGAACTGTAGCCTCAGTTTCCTGTTCTTAGCTGACAGGAGTGGTACCCGGCGTAATCTTCTGCTGCTGTAGCCCATCTGCCTCAAGGTTGGACGTGTTGAGTGTTCAGAGATGCTCTTCTGCAGACCTCGCTTGTAACGAGTGCTTATTTGAGTTACTGTTGCCTTTCTATCAGCTGGAAACAGTCTGGCCATTCTCCTCTGACCTCTGGGAACAGCAAGGCATTTGCACCCACACAACTGCCGCTCACTGGATTTTTTCTCTTTTTCAGACCATTCTCTGTAAACCCTTGAGATGGTTGTGTGTGAATATCTCAGTAGATCAGCAGTTTCTGAAATACTCAGACCAGCCTGTCTGGCACCAACAACCATGCCACGATCAAAGTCACTTAAATCCCCTTTCTTCCCCATTGTAATGCTCGGTTTGAACTGCAGCAGATCGTCTTAACCATGTCTACATGCCTAAATGCATCGAAATGCTGCCATGTGATTGGCTGATTGGAGATTTGCATTAACGAGCAGTTGGACAGGTGTACCTAATAAAGTGGCCGGTGAGTGTATATGTACATATTCATTTAAAAAAAATACAAATTTCAATGGTCAATATTATTAGACTCCTTTAGTTATATGGCTACAGAAAAAGAATCGCTATTGACTAGCCTAATTAAAAAACAAATCTAATTAACCTAGTGAAGCCTTTAAATGTCACTTTAAGCTAATTACTAGTATCCTGAGAAATATCTAGTCAAATATTATTTACTGTCATCAAGGCTACGATAAAAGAAATCAGTTATTAGAGATGAGTTCTTAAAGCTATTATGTTTAGAAATGTGTAGAAAAAATTTTTCTCTCGCTTTCCAAACAGAAATTAGGGTAAATATACAGTATATATTTGATATATGTGTGCAAATAGGATCTTCTTGTAGTCTCTACCATGTTTCTCTCCTTTTCTCTTTGTATGTGCTCTGAATTAGCCTAAGAGGATATTAATCAAATGCAATTCCCTTTTTGCCAAAACCCATTGTTCATAGTTATGGCTATTTAACAAGGCTTTTCTCTTCATAAGTGACTTCTATTATAAGAAGCTCTCTATTTATATTAAGAAAGACAGCTGTAATGAAGTGCTGGGTCCTCTGAGATCAGAATGGCCTCTGGGAGTGAAAAAAGCGATGGCCAGACTGCTCAGCCCGCGGGACGCTCCTCTCTCTCTCTCTCTCTCTCTCTCACTCCCCGACTGGCTGGTCCCAGCTGGCACACACTTCCTACCAGCCCACAGTCAGACGCAATCAATGGGCTGTTAAATAGATTTGGTACAAGTCCATTCTGTGCTGTAAGAGTCTTCAGTCTGCACGGGGCTCAGTCATAAGATTCAGGAAAAAGCCCATCAGCCTCTGTTGTGTGGATGGGATAAAATGGGGTCCTTTTCACCTGGGGGAGGGCTGCATCTCCTTTGAATCTATCCACTCTGTGTGTCTATCAATGGTAATAATTTGGTGATTTATGTTACTTAGGGAAGAAGGATTTGACAGACTGTGTCTGTGCATTTCGAAATTACACCAAGAAAATATTGTCTCTTCTAGGTGTTTTTGTAGGCCAAAGTGTTTTAGTTTTGAATTAGTCTAAATTTTTCTATGAGGACAGTAAATAATATTTTACTATTTATTAAGCTATATGGTAGAATTCAGCTAAAAGTACTATTTAAAGGCTTAACTCTTTTAATTAATTAATTAATTAATTTGGCAAGTCATTGGACAACAGTGGTTTATTAGCTAAAAATATAGACTTCAGTAGTTTTCATGTTTTTAAAAATATTTTTTTTCTTTTACTCCAGTGAAACTAAAATTAAAAAAAGAAAATTTCCTATTTAATTTCCAGAAGAAAAATACCATCGAAAATACTGTATAAAAATATTCTTGCTCTGTTAAACATCATTTAGGAGATGGTTGAAAAGAAAAAATGAATAAATAAAAATAATCAATATATAATTATATAGTTTTAAATATAATTTTATATAATATTTTATTATAATAATATAAAAAACAGGGAAATATATAATAATAATATATAATAACATACAAATACGAGCAATATCACATGAGTAGCAGTGGCGTGCGTTGACGTGTATATAAAAAAGAAATCAAACACGGAGAGTCTTAAAAACCTATTTGTATAAGGAACCACTTTCTTCCACCATTCATTTACATCTGCAGCTGACCGTCAGAACAATAGAAGCTGTTACAAATTCACCAACATCACTTTAGTGCCAGTGTTTGAATGATTTTCTAGCGTAATGTCTAAAGTGATGACAAAACAGGTAATGCTTGCTCACATTAAGAAATGAAATGCCATCAGTCTACAGAGATTTCCCAGTATTTCTCTGTTGCAGTCGGGAGATCACAATAATTAACCCCGAAAAAGCCAGAGCAAAGCAAACACTACCAGATTACTAAGGTATAAATACAGCACTACAAAATACAAAAGAGAGAGATCGACTTATATTGCCACTTACCTGATTTATAATGATTTGTTCAGCTGTAGTTTGAAACATACGCTGAAAAAATGCTGTTTTTTTCCCTCTAAGGACTTAATATGTGGTCTCTGTCGCCACCTTGTGGCAGAACGTCAACTGTTTTTGCTCTGCTCAGTATGGCCTCCAATGCGTTAAATCAGGGGTCACCAATCCTGGTCCTGGAGGGCCGGTGTCCCTGCAGGGTTTAGCTCCATCTTGCCTCAACACACCTGCTTGGATGTTTCAAGTATACTTGGGCTGTTTCTCAATTCCAAGAACGCAGAGATCGGACTTGTGTTCTTGTGGAGAGCGGTCTTGCCAGGTGTCCTCGGAAGAACGAACTCAGGAGACCGCAAGGGCAGAAAACGCGTCCTTTGAGAATTAAGATGCTGCGTTCTTCCTGATGGTCACATGACCTTCACGTGTTTTAAATGGTAAATTATTTAAACATTACAGCCTTCATACAACAATTTATTGTTTTTCCCCTTTTTTAAATATATACTTTGCATAAAACATTATAAATCTATGTTGCACAATATAAATAAAACAGATTTTAATACGAATTTCAGCAAACAAACACCCTTAATGTGTTTATTCCTTTATTAAGATGTCCATGGTAATGTTTACTTTCACCGTTTCATTTAGGGAAACTCCTGAGGTAAATAATTCATATCTATGAACTTTAATAATAAATCTAGATAAAATTCTGCGCTTCCCACCTCCAGTCGCAATGCCTTCTGGGACTTCCAGAGCGAGTTCGGTGCTCAAGTCTGCATCGGTGCGTCCTCGATATCAAGAACACATCCGGGAAGTTTCACGCGTCCTCCTTACTTGCGGTCTTGAGGATTGGAACTGAACTTAGGCAGCTGATGATGACGTTTCACGAGAACACGAGGACGCAAGACCGCTGAAGAACGCATATTGAGAAACAGCCCTAGTAAGACCTTGATTAGCTTGTTCAGGTGTGTTTGATTAGGGTTGGAGCTAAAATCTGCAGGGCACCAACCCTACACGGAACAAGTTTGGTGACCACTGCGTTAAATCTCCGAAATTATGTATATTTTAAATAGGCACTATCCCTGCAGTTCATTCCCTCAATTAAACATTACTTGACAGTCTTACTTTCATTTACTTCTTTGCTTTAAATCATTGTTTCTAATGTTGTGATTCTCCTAGAAACTGATTGGTGACTTGAAACATCCTGAAACTCTACGCACCATAAAAAACAGTTTTAAGCCATTTAAAAAGAATCAAAATCCCCTCAACATGTCAGCGCAATCTATACTAACATTTCTTTGCAAACCGCCTTTACACTCCGCATGAGCAACTCATCAGACAGAAATGTCCGATAGAACAGCTCCGGTTCAATTTGCTCTTGATATCGCGCAGTGCAACGGGCGAACGTGTAACTCTACAGGCTGATCAATATGCAATCTCACACACCCCGAGGCCAGCGGGCCGGTTACAGCATTCAGAGACATCACTCGATACAGGCCTGACAAAAAACAGCACCTCCGGCCCACAAACCCTTTACATAACCTCTGAGCAGCGGAAACACTTGCGTATACGTAACAAAGACAAACATGTTGTTGACAAGATGACCTCGGAGAGGGAAAAACTCACATGTTGGTGTTGGCAGTGGAGGTCAGCCATTCTCCAGCCAGACCAATGATGTCCAGACCGGAGGAAAGCTGGTTGAAGAATCTAGGATGACCTGAGAAGAGGAATTACACCATCTATGAGTGCAAATCGACTAACAAAAGCTTTAAATTAATCAATCCAAAAATAAATGTTTGCTGTTTATTCAAACTACTTCTATAAAGTAAGTTGAAACAACACAATTCTTGAGTTTTTTGGGGGGACATCTTAATTGTTTCATTTTCACTTAAATTTGTAAAAACTAAGGTTAACTTAATTCCTTCATTTTCTCCCAACACAAATCGATTGTGTAGATCCCACACATTTTTTAAAGTGCAGATGATAAAGAGTTGTCACCATTAAACTGCCATGGTTTTTATGAATCAAGTCTTTTATGATCACTAAAAAAAATAAATAAATAAAAAATATATAAAAATTATATATATATATATATATATATATTTATAATTTTTATATACTTTTTCATATTATTTTTATATATTTATTTATTATATATATATATATATATATATATATATATATATATATATATATATATATATATATATATATATATATATATATTATAGGTGGGCATAGATTAATTTTTTAAATCTAGATTAATCTCACTGTAATCTTGGAATTAATCAAGATTAATCTAGAGTAAAATGGCTCATGTAAATTCTGCCAAAGGCATTCAGAATATGTGTGCTACCCAAATAATAAGTAAAAGTAAGTCTTCTGAGAACGGATTTCTCAAGCGAGGTGGCGCATTAGACCAGGGGCTCATCTCCTGTTTCCAAAAGAATGACATTCATCCTATAGTCATAGCTCAGTTACTGACAGATAGACACAGTGTGATGTGTTTTCTCCGTTGAAAACACTGTACCTGTTCTGACCCCGTATTTCAGCGTGTCTCTGCAGTCCACCAGGATCTGCTCCAGGGACTCGGGCTGGTCAGAAAGCTCCAGGTTGAAGCCCTCCATTCCCTCCAGCAGCTGGTGAGGATGATGGAAGTCCAGCACTTTGGTGGATCTGTCGAAGGTCTTGCGCACATAATTGGTGAGGATCTCCACCACTTCGAGAAGAAACTGGATTGTGGGCTCCTCGCCGTTTTTAGCGGGCAGTAGATCTGGAATGAAACCAGATAAGAGGTCTTTTACATCAAATTGGATCATAATTGTGCACACATTTATAGATATATCAGAAGTAGGCTCCCGTGGAGGTAAAATTTAACATCTGAAAAAAAAAATTGTGATCACGAAACAGTCATGAGAGTTGATCTGAAATATCTGAAAACTGAATCAGGTGTCTTCAAGGTGAATTCAAGTCTTCTTGAAGTCTTTGTAATACTCTTTTAAGATCCTTATAGATAAAATTTAAGACTTATACATGGCTAAACACTGAATTTTGATAATGGTCCAGTTTGGCCAATGGAATATTTTGTTTGTAGGTATTTTAGCCACATATTTTAATGTCAAAACAAGAAATTCTAGTTGTATACACAATTAACATAAATCTAACGCTTTTTTAATGACAAGTTTACAGAGAAAATGACATGATTAATCAAAAATATTTACAGTATTTGTTGGCTTTTGGTCCAAATGGATTCAACCTAATGTGTTTCTGTTACATAACCTTAGGTTTCATGTAAATTACTAAACATTATCTCCACTTCCCCCTACTTCTGTAAATAGTTCTTTATATAGATGGAAAATCATGTAAATGGATATGTTACTATATTTGCTCAGTTATTATCATGAGTAATTGTGGAATTGTTTTTAGTTTATGGGTTTTAATTGGGAGAATTTGCTGTATCTCTTTGCAATAAAAACTTAAATATATATATGTATATATGTGTATATATATATATATGTTTTTATATATATATATATATATATATATATATATATATATATATATATATATATATATATATATATATAAATATATATATATATAGATTGATTGATTGTTGGTGATTGGATGGATCTTTGCACGATTTGGTAGCTTTACTTGGACAGAGGAAAATTAAGACCTGTTTAAAATTATTTAAGACGTACAACACAATATTTCAGTAAATTTAAGACTTTTTAAGGCCTAAAATGTTGTTTTGAAAATTTAAGATTTTTAAGACACCGTGGACACCCTGTGAATAAGATTTCCATTGATGTGTAGTTTGTTATTATAGGATATTTTGTCGAAATACAAAAATTTAAAATTCTGGAATCTGAATTTATGTTTTATATAACAATATATATATATATATATATATATATATATATATATACACACACAGTTGAAGTCAGAATTATTAGCCCCCCTTTAATTTATTTTTCTCTTTTAAATATTTCCTAAATGATGTTTAACAGAGCAAGGAAATTTTTACAGTATGTCTGATAATATTTTTTATTCTGGAGAAAGTCTTATTTGTTTTATTTAGGCAAGACTAAAAGCAGTTTTTAATTTTTTTAAAGCCATTTTAAGGTCAAAATTATTAGCTCTTTTAAGCTGTATTCTTTTCCAATAGAATATAGAACAAACCATCGTTTTACAATAACTTGCCTAATTACCTTAACCTGCCTAGTTAACCTAATTAAGCCTTTAAATGTCACTTTAAGCTGTATAGAAGTGTCTTGAAAAACATCAAGTAAAATATTATTTACTATTATTTAGTTATAAGAAAATGAGTTAATAAAACTATTGTTTAGAAAATTTTCTCTCTGTTAAACAGAAATTGGGGAAATAAATAAACAGGGGGCTAATAATTCAAGTTTATATATCCAAATTAAAATCTTTGACAATGCATTTTTCCTAAACTAAAATTTAGTTTTAATATATGTATGGTAGGATATTTGCAAAATGTCTTCATGGAACATGATCTTTACTTAATATTCTAATGATTTTTGGCCTAAAAGAAAAATCAATACTTTTATTCATATAATGTGTTATTGACTTTTCCTACAATTTTTTTGTGGTTTTGTGGTCCCGGATCACACTTAAACTACATTTAATCAATCAGTGCATTAATCAGGTGAAAACATTTAAATTGGCATGGAAGCAAAAACTGTTTAATCATCAAGTTTTACTCATGCTGCTGTCAGTAACGACACAAATCAAACCACATACTTTAAAATTCAAACAACAAATATTGACTTAAATTGTTAAGCTGTAAAAACATTGATTACATACACTACTGGTCGAAGGTTTGGGGTCAGTATGATTTTTAAATGTTTTAAAATGAGGTTGTCCTGCTCACCAAGGCTGCATTTATTTCTTTACAAATACAAATAGTAAAATGCTACAGCACTATAAAAAAACTGTTCAGAAGTAGTTTATAATTTAATTTAATAATTTATTCCAGTGATTTTAAAGATGAATTTGGAGCTTCATTACTCCAGTCTTCAGAGTCACATGATCCTTCAGAAATCACTCTAATATTAATTATTATTATTATTAGTAGTAATAAAAACAATAAATACTGGAGCCATAATTTCATTTGAATCTTCATACAGCAAGAAAGCAAATTTTAATAATTATTTGATCTTTTTTTTTTTACATTTAATAAATGCCGGCTGGATGAACAGAATAATTTTCTTTAAAAAATTAAAAACCTGACCCCAAACTTTTTTTTTCATTTTAATATAAATATCTTGAGATAAATATTTTTGCATAAAGTAAAAAGGTGTCATGTAAATTTACAATATCACAATTCACTGTAAAAAATGCTGGGTTCCACACAATTACTCATCTTGTCACAACTCAAATCGATTTAGTTAACTTAATTGTTTTTTTAAATTAAAGTTGATTGAACATAAAACTATTAAATTATTCCACAAAAAACATCATTATGACTAAGTAGTTTAAACAAGCAGCAAAAAAATTGAGTGTAGTTTTAACTCAAGAAATCAACATTAAAAGGATTATCTCTAATTTTCAGTTACAACAAATATGTATCCATATTTAAAGAGAATAATCATTTAAATGTTCTACTTTAATATTTATCACAAAAACATGTACAGTTAACATTGCTAATGGAACTTTATTCGACAAACTCTAAGATGTTTTAGAAATACTTTTAACATTCACATTTTAGACCATTTGTTTCAGAAAATTCAGAAAACAATTAAATGAAACTTTTTTTTTTTATCATGTTTGCAAACTGGTCCCTTAATGAGGAAACAAAAATAAAAAGGTGTAATGTAAATTTACAATACAATACCACAATAGTTTTAACATAAGAAATCAATATTTAAGGAAATATCCTTGATTTTTAGTCACAACAAATAATAATCCATACTTTATTAACAGAATGTTCCTTTAAATGTTCTACTTAAATATTAACACAAAAACATGTTCAGTATACATTGCTCATTGAACTTTCTAACACATTTTATAGTTTGTCGAATATTTTAACATTTGCATTTTAGAATATTTATTTCAGAAAACAATTGCATTAAAGCTTTTTTAATCATGATTGCAAACTATTCCCTTCATGAAGAAAGAAAGTATACATTTAAAAAAACGAGAATCTTAACGAAATGTTCCTATAACTGTGGATACATCATCACTTGAAAAAAACATTAAGAAAGAGCAAAATGTGAGTTTACCTCGCGCGAACAGGTTGGAGAAATCTGTCTCATCGCGCGTGAAGCGCTCATTGTTGTCGCACGACATCTGGTTCTTGGCGCTCTCCTTGAAGGAGCCCACCATACGACTCTTCTCATCCAAACTGTTGTTCTTCTGCAGGAAACCTGCATCATTACAACACGGGGAAGAATTGCAAAACATCCTCAGCCTTGAGTCTGGTTGCGAGGGGAAATCAAAGTTACACTAGGCTATATATCCAACCAGTTGCTCAACACAAGCAACAAACAGAAGGTTTGCGCCCTAATATTTATACCCAAGGCTGATTCCAGCGGTTGGAGTTTTACTGGGACAGAGCTATTTATGGATTGGTCGAGGTTCAAAGGTGCTACTGTATCTGTTACATCAGAGGACATGTGGGGTGGTGTTTTTGGACCATGTAACGCTGTTGAAGCGCGGTTGAGTTAGGGTCTATCATCCTTCACAGATTCCGCTTCACTGATGCTCCATGTCATTAACTGCCGACAGGGACATTCAATAGACTGAAGCTACAAGCTATGGAGGGTGTTTTATTGGAGAAGCTTACATGAACATAGACAAACGGCTTTGGGTAGAACAGAGAGACCCACTTATTAGAAATTAGAGTCACACTTTACAATATAATGTTCATACTAACATGAACTACGAACAATATTGTACAGCATTTATAAATCATAATTAAACATGTAGTGCATTATTAACATTTAAGTTCATGCTTGATAACTTTAGTTAATGCACAGTGAGTTAACATGATTTAACATGAACAAATACAACCTTTTTGTAAAGTGTTAGTTGGAAATTAGGAATAGTTGTTGTTATTGGCGCCTTATTCATAATGGAAAATTCTTTTTGGAACCAACAACAAGAAAATTTACTTTAGTAATTTAAATAAAATATTGTTTTGAACCTTAAATTGTATTGTACTGCATATATTATAACATTTACAACTCTGAAAATGAATACTGCAGCATATTGTTAACTATAGTGAACTGATAAACTGTAATACATACTAATATACTTTAGATTTTACTAGAGCCAACTGTGGTGCAAAGAGATAATACAATGTAGTGTGACCATAACAAATTTAGGAATCACCAAAACAGATTTATTCAAGTGCTGTATGGTTTAAAAACACTAGCCTAAATAATATAGATTATTGTAGTATTTTTCATGTGCGCATGAATCTACAAATGATTTCCCTTGATCATTACCCAACAAAGAATTTTAATAAACGTCTAATAGACATCTAACGTAGACAGCTTGGCTAAAACAAGGCAGTGAAAATGTAATAGACATCTTAAAATAGCCCAAAGGACTAGTCATCAAACGGAGAGATTATTATATGTGTAGTCCTTCAATTCTGTTAATAGTTTTAGCCTATTCTTAGACTTCATTAGATTTTCACTGACAGGTCAAATGTAACCTTGTTTTAGCCAAGATGTAAACTTGTTTTAGGCGTCTATTAGACATTTTTTGAATACAAAAATGCTTGCTGGGTAGTACAAACTCATTTACTTGGAACCTTTTCATTAAAAGTGGATAATTTTGAACACACAGAAATATGCATATTTTTAATTCACATTGCACAGATTCGTTATTATTCTGAATGATTTTAATTGAGAACTGCGCAGAGCTATTGAATTTTGGGTCACTGATGGTTTGTGAGATTATAAAGAATATTTTTCAATATTTAACCGCAAATTTCCTTCGTTCGGTCTCGAGGTTTGCTTTGCGTGCCGGTTATCTCGCTCTCATTTTGAGCAGGACTATCAGACAATATTATCAGAGAAAACAGACCCCCGTTAATACTCCCCTCTGCCCACCCTGCAGCCCATCTCTCTCATTCAGGCTCGGTTCTGATAAGAGCTAATGACTATTCGATGCAGTAAATCTTTGGCGGTGCGCTGAACATCAATAGGCGACACGATTTTATTGCAGCTATCAAAATGGATTTTTCTGTTTTCTCTCATGCTAAAGACCAAAGCTATTGTGGGCTTTACAAGCAGGTTGAGTATGCTGATTGTGCATGCATTTAAAATAAAACATGCACTCTGATCAAACAACTAGAAAATGTGGGTCTTTATTTGAGCAGTGGTTTGCACGCGTTAACTTTGTTTCTTTAACATAAGATTAGTTAAAATAAATGTGTGCATGCGTTTTTCTTTTTATAAAAAACAAACAAACTAAAATGAGCCTATAAATATATAAATGCATGCATAAATAACATTTTAAAAAAATTAATAATGACAAAATAAACCTGATATATTTATTTAAGAAATTTTTGCACGTTTTTAAATGAGCTCCAATGAAATAAATATGCACCAGCTGAGTCGCTTAAATTATTTCATACATCAAAAATCTTAATGACAAAACTATCATGCAATTTTCCATTTAGCTATTTTTCCCTTATATGTATAGCATATATCAACCACGCAAGCAATAATCATGACACAAATCTGATTGCGTGTTTATTTTTTATGCACGCAAGCGAAATTAAATCCTGAGCAGCCCATAGCCTAATCTATGAGAATGAAACGAAGTTTCACCAGAGGCAATGGCCACATCCCCCAAACGTCATCATCTTAAAAACACCCAATCCTCTTCACATCTTTTAGCAGGCTATAAAAAGCAGCGTGGCGTAAAAAAGACAAGTTGAGAGCGAAGGCGAGGGAGAGAGACGGAGAACCACCCACCAGGAAACTAATAGACTAGAGAGAGCAACACCGGCAGCCCCTTTTTTTCTTCTGATATATGGAGTTTCGCTTTCCAGACAAATCCAGTTACGAAAACCCATCTAACTGACCGTGAGAGAAGATTTCCATCGAGACACTGACGATTCACAGGCTGTTTTTCTGCTGAAAAAAAAATCATGCCTTCCCAGCAGAGATTTTTGTGTGTTCAAAATAAGTCCAACAGACGTCTAAACAAAGACGCCTTGGCTAAATCAAGGTTGCAGCAAACTATTTTGTGTTTAATAGACATCTAAACGTAGACAGCTTGGCTAAAACAAAGCTATACTTGGGCTGTTAGTCAAAATTTGATAGACATCGAAGAATAGCCCGAAACTAGATCAGTCGTCAAATAGACAAATTAGACACACTTTACGAGTAGTCATTAATTTCTGTTTATTTGGTGACTAGTCTAGTTCTGGCCTATTCTATCAGATTTTCACTGACAGTCATAATCTAGCTCTGTTTTAGCAAAGACGACTATGTTTAGGCGTCTATTAAACATCTATCAGACATCTTTTTAAAACAAAAACATGTGAAAATCTAATAGATGTCTAAGATTAGCCAAAAAATAGACTAATAATCAAACACACATGACCACAAATGAGGACTCTGTCTAACTTATTTGATAAACTGTCTAATTCTGGGCTATTCTATTAGATTTTCAATGGAAACCTAAATTTAGCCTTGTTTTAGCCATATCGTCTATGTTCAGATGTCTTTTAGACGTCTTATTAACATAAAATTGCCTTTTCTATCTCCTTTCAGCTTGGTTTTTGTCCCTTTGTCAAGAAAATAATAATGAGAGTGAACAAGGGGGGACAAAAGACTAGGACCCTGTTCTCACAGTAGCCTACAGGGTAAATAACAGCTCGCTGACCTTTGGCGTGTGATGCAAACGCGCAGTGACAGTCGCTTGCTCCCTATCCAGGGCATACATGTGTTCACACCTGGGTCAACAACAGCATAAAGGTGCCCTCCACTTTGGCACCCCCAGACAGAAATGATGTTGGCACTGTACAATAACTTACCACAGATCTTCATGCCCAGTTTCCTCGTGCATCCGTGTGCAACCCCGTACCACGCGTCCGAGGCTAAAACGAGACGTTTGGAGAGCTGTTCAACATCCCATATTTGTAATTGCTTTTATGCTATGGGTGAGGATGTGAGCGCCTGTGTAAAAGCGCAAAGTGCAACATGCATTGACGCAAAACACAATGAATGTGTGCAACACATCTTTACAGGCTCTGTGCCTTTTTCCTAGATTTTTTCAAAGAGCTTGATTTTCCCTCAAGCAATCAATAGAGGCTATCAGAGAGGCAGGCAGCTAATAGATGGTGGCACACATCCGGCAAAGAGGCGGTTTAAAATAAGCGGGCATGAAATGAGGTCTCGGGATTAATTGAGTGAATCGCTTGTGTTTGACTTGCCAGCCGTCATATACAGCGAGTCTACAGAAAATGGACCATTCGGAATATACACATGAATGACCTCCAGGCGTTAGTGACCAGACAGATGCAGCATTACAATGTCGATGCAAGAAAAATGTACGCACAATCACAACGTTAAGCATTTGCATAATTCAGCAAAACATTTTGACATTGCATTTAAATACTATAGGTATGACTTTGAATGATAAAGCGATTCCAATCGAAGCAGGGGATGTATATAATAATTATTAATAGTTTGATATAAATTGATGTCATGCTCTGGGTGGGTTTTGTCTGAGGGCAGATCTGGCTTTATTTGCCCCAGGCGCGCGCTGTCAGGATGAGGCACAGACAGCACGAGCCCCTCAGGTCAGTAAGCGTGAGATAGAGCTTGGCAGGGAGATAATAGCAAAACACGCAGAATACACACACACACACACACACAGCACAGCAGCACAATTTTTTACAGCATATAAAATGGAAAAAAACCCATATATAGCTTTTACTAGATCAATACAATACATTACATTAAGCATGATATTTTTAATTTATCACAATCTACACAAAAGCACATAAAGGTTATATATATTATATAACATCAAACTAATTTTTAATGCATTTTAAGATCTTGACTTGGCCATTTTAGCATATTTACAAAGGAAAACGTGAAGTGGAGCGTAATGGCGGGTAATTTTAGGTAATTACGCTATTGAGGTGGGACTGTTGAAAGCAGATGATGGCTGATTGCTGTTATTTAAGCCACCATAAAACGTGCCAACAAGCAGCACCATTGTTATAAAAACGGGATCCCAATTTAATGCAAAACGTACACAAAATGATGGTAACATTTTTTGTTATTATTTAAATCTTCTGGTATGAATTAAGACAAATATATACACCGCAAAATAGAATAAGGGATCAATTTTGTCTTATACATCATCTATCTATTGATCTTCCTTTATTAAAAACTTATTATCTTTATTAAAATCTATCTATCTATCTATCTATCTATCTATCTATCTATCTATCTATCTATCTATCTATCTATCTATCTATCTATCTATCTATCTATCTATCTATCTATCTATCTATCTATCTATCTATGCATTTGGTCAAATATGAACCAACGTGCGCATTTCAAAAACCCGACATTGAGTTTGTCCACATTTGACCCAACGCTAGGTTAAAACAACCCAGCATTTCTGTCTATCTATGATAATTTATGATTCGTCTCTCCAGCTGTAAGGTGATCTGTCAGCTAATAGACATTTCACACGGTGCGGTGTGTTTTTTAAGGCAGTGATGAACATCGCCACCCCACGGAGTAAACAAGCCAAGTGAAAAACGCGTTATCCAGAGAGACCTACTTGTGGCAGGTTGTCGTAAATTAGCCGTGTTTGGGTCCATATCACCAGCCGAGGAAGAAGGTGCAGAAGACGCCATCAGTCCACGGGAAACACCTCAATGCTTTCAGACTGAATGGAAAAATCTGACACTACACGGAGAATATATGCAGAATTAGGACAGAAACAAAAAGTGCAGACACAAATCAGACACAAAATTAGACTAAATCTCAAATGCAGCTATAAAAGCGATCATTCCTCTTCTCCAAAGTATAATTTCACGCATCAGATTCCCCTTGTGAAATGGCTGTAATTCACTCTCCTTCAGCACAGGATAATTTGTCTTGCGTTACGCGCACTCAGTGTTCTGTCATGTTCAGAAATGCGCTCTGATTGAACAGCGCACATTACAGCACACCCAAAAAGCGCGAGCAAACACAACAGAGGAAATAAATAATCCAAAATAAAATACGTATGCAAGTAAATTCTGGAAATAATCCCACCTATATAGGCTAACTTGTTATTTAGGATGGCAGTCCGGCTGTGTTCTCCAGACGCACCGGCTCCTCTGAGCTCCAGCGCGCAGCAGACCGTGAAGTCTGACTTAATTGGCTCTGTAACGAGCTCTTTAAATCCAATCATTTAAAACCAAGAAATGAAGAATCTGCTCACTTCAACCACATCATAACAAAGGAGAAATAATCCTTCTGACGGTATTTTTAGTCTAATGATGGCGATGATAAATAACATTTCTTTTGTGTGAGGTGATTTTAGAAGGTCACAAAGAAAGGGGGAGAGCTAAAATGAATTGAAAAAATGCAAATTATTGATTTCTCAATTAAGATGATCTTTAAATATCCTCAAATAATGAGCATCGCTCACTGAGCGAAATATATAGGCAAAAAATCATTGCGCCGCTCATGTGTTAAATTACAGCATATTTTTAGATCATTATTTTGCCATATCCAATCATCACATAATCACAATAACTGATTTAGATATGTACATATATGTATTTAAATCTGATTTATATATAAAATACAGCTCTTCTTTCAAATATAATCTTCCTAACATCGTAAAACTAGACAAAAACGCAATTCTGCATGGAAAATTTAGATGGTAACAGAGAAGGTGAGCGCTTACCTTACGGAGTCACAGGTGTCACAGTAAAATCCTGTAAAAATGGCACACGGAGGATGGTTCACACCGCGTGATGTTGCTGCGAGACTCTTATCATGGGGAAACCAAAATAATTGGGAAGAGCATAACAATCCATTCAGCGTTAAATCTTGATCCAGTGTTTATCCTTCAAAGAGGGGGTAAAGGAGAAATCTCCAAAATCACTTCGGCTGTATTTGTCCAGGGGTTTTAGATCCACGGGTTTATCTCGACTCTGTTGATTGTTAAGGACTCAAGCCATCGGACACAAGAAGTTTAATTCTCCGAGTAATATATACATGTATATATACACACACACGTCAAAACACCGTGGGAGTGAGAAAAGGGTGAGTGAGTGAGAGAGAAAGAAAAGAGAGAGAGAGAGAGATGATGAAAACGAGAACACATTTTGATAGTTTCTTTTATTTATTAATAACTATTTTAGACACATCATAAACCAATATAAGCATTCCAGTCTAATTAGTTTTTTTTTCCAAATATATATATTTAATGCACTACTTGTGGATCAGCGTTAGTTATAACGTGAGGCATCTGGAACTGCTCACCAGAAGGTGGCAGCAGAGAGCAGACCAACTTGAACTTGAATGAAGGATTTTTGGGCAGCGCCCTGGAAAATCACTCTGCTCTTGTCTGTAAGATCGTTTGTTTTAGGAGCTCTACTGAATCAGCGTGTCAGAATTGACGACAACTTTTCATGCGGTGAGCTGTAAAGTGCGCAGTTTTTCACCGAAGCCTTTTCAGCACCTGGACAGCTCCGCGCAAAACGACACTGGGCTATAGTTGTCTCCAGTCAGTGTTTTTAAGGATGTTGTTTTTTTTAAAAGCTATTTTCTACAAACGCACACATTTAAGTATTGTCCTAACATGCACACAAAACATTTAATGCAGACATTGCCAATGCATGCGTTGTGTTCAACATTAGCTAGGGCAAAATAAAAATATATACAGTGCTCAGCATATATGAGTACACCCCATTTTAAAAATAAATATTTGAACCAATTTCTCAGTGAATATGGGTAATATATACATTGGTGCATTTGAACAAAACAGATTTATTAAACAGATATATTTATTAAAATTACATTTTAGTCAAAGAACATCTTTAGAAATTAAAGATAATGCAATTAAATTAATGCAAAACTACAATATTTCAACAAATAGATTTTTTTTGGATTTTTGCTGTTTTTTTAAAATGGTATTTAATATTTTTCCCTAATATAAATTTGGTCTGCTAATCTTTAAACCATTACTGTACGTTATTTTGTTAGATTAGCTCCAGATTTGGCTTCAGTACTGACTAATTTAATGTATATGCACACATATAATATTGTAAAGCATCTTATAGAAAATATTATTTTAAAAGAGATTTGGGGAGTGAACTGTGTACATTTAAAAACTATTAATACCCCTGGCAAATTCAAAGTCACTTTTATTTAACCAGCAGATTGTATTAATCAGACAGGACACCGGGTTCTCCCAAAATATAATAAGACAATGTACAAGAGGTTGTGGAAAAACAAACAAATATTTTTCTCAGCTTTTATTAAAATTTGAACAAAAATTTTAAGTCAGAATTTGCCATAGGTATGAATAGGGCTTGACTGTATATATGCAATTAAATATAAAATATAAACTTTTTAACTTTAAGCATTTGAAGATTAGATTTGGTTTCAAAATATTTAGTTATTCGTTTTTAATTATATCTGCAGCATCAATTAGTTAAAATCAAATATAAAAAATAGGATTTTGTAGACTATACACTACACACTTACGAAAATAAATGCTAGGTTGTAGAGTCAAATACAAACCCAATCGTTGGGTTAAAATGAGTTTGTATATTTAACAAAGGTGTTAAATTTAATTGAAAAAATAAACCCAATTTTAGGTTTGTCCATATTTGACCTAGCTTTGGGTTACGACAAGTCAGATTTTTTTTTAGAGTGCAATTGGTCTCAAAATAATGGTTATTGAGCCTTTTTGGACAACTTTTAGTGTGAGCGGTAAATTTAGGAAATGATATAGTTCTTCCGTTAGATGGCGCTATGTTGCATTTTTACAACAAATAAACCGAAAAAATTAAGCTTGAAATGGGTATTTTATTCACAATACACAATTCACACAGAATATGTGCAGTCAGCAATTGAGAAAACTGCATACATGAGATGCTGAACAGATCACGCATTGTTTATGAGCACAAGACATATAAGCAATAATGTTTGTGATGCAGGACATTCACTCCACCAGATGCTAATTTAGCATGAAGATGATAATGTATCATCTGTGCTGTCAATGGACTCTTCATCTGTGTCAGAGCTCTCTGATGACTCATCATCATCATCATCATCATCTTCATCATCATTATCATCAGATGTGTCAGATTCATCATCATCATCATCCGATTCTTCATCCGCTTCTAAACATTTTGATGACATCCATATGAAGAAGGTAAACCCAACGCACTTGAATTTCAGTCATCATTTGCTTTTGCACACACATTATTAAAGTTAGCCATCTGGAACATTGCTTCTAATGAGTTTGGCTTATTTCATTTCAGCGCAGAGCTTCACAAAACACTTTGTTTAGAGCAGTTTGAAGATGAATCTTTCTAAGCTAGAATGTTGAAATATGAAAGAAGAAAATTTGTAATAAATAATATAGGATTAATCATCATTTGCTTACACTGATGATATTTATATTTTTTAATCCATAAGACAAATGAAGCTATTGTTAAATAGATTTATGATCCTCTTTTAAAAAGTCTATTCACCCAAAACATTCAAACAGACATAATAAAATTATTAAGTGAACTTTTAGGTCTATGTTCTCAAAAGAGACACAATCACTTTCACAATCACAAATAAGCAAATTTACTTTAAAAACTAAGTAACCCCGTTGCCTAAAAGGGTCAGTTCACCCAAAGCTGAAAATCCGTAATCATTTACTCACCCTTTACTTTTCACAAACCTGTTTCTTTCTTCTTTTGAACACGAAATAACATATTTTGAAAAGTGTTGGAAACTGGCAACCATTGACATCCATAGTATGTTTACTGGGTTCTAACATTCTTCAAAATATCTTCTTTTTTGTTTAACAGGAAAAAAACACATACAGGTTTGGAAACACTTAAGGGCGCACAAATAGCGAGTAAATGTTTGTTTTTGGTTGAACTAGCTCTATAAAAGCATCAGCAGACTTAAAAAAGACAGTAAACTTGTGTAACTTGGAACTGTTACATTATTTTTTCTTTCATTCAACTGTTAAGTTTAATTTTTATAATTCTGCACATAGTTAATTTACCTAATAATTTTAAAATTACAATTTTCACAGGGTAAAATTAACATATTTGTTTGTAATTCAATCACAAATTTAATTTAATTCATTCTTGCTTGTCACACAGCAAGACTTGTAACTTCTGCATTAACCAATGAGATTTGTTCTCACGCATCAAGTTGTTTGAGTTTCTGTTTACTGATTTATTTGTGATTATATACTGTTCAAACAAAGTGAAGTTAAATATTAAACTAATTTCAAGAAAAGCACATGCTCATGATTACCCAGCTGGCCCTCATTAGCTAATCACGATCCTCCAAACAAAGGATCCCAAGTCACTATATACAGTTGAAGTCAGAACTATTAGCCCCCCTTTGAATTTTTTTTAAAAAAATATTTCCCAAACTATGTTTAACAGAGCAAGGACATTTTCAAAGTATGTCTAATAATATTTTCCTTCTGGAGAAAGTGTTATTTGTTTTAATCGTCTAAAATAAAAGCAGTTTTTAATTTTTCAAACACTATTTTAGGGTCAAAATTATTAGGGGTTTCCCCCAGGTTGCCCAGTTTCCTCCCACCATCCAAATATGCACTATATTATAGAAAAATAAGCCTAATTCTTCTTTCTAAATGTCTTACCCTCAGGAACTTCACCTTAACCTCAGCAGCGGGGGAGTTTTGAGATCAACCTGAGCTCAATCTCCCCTCGCCCTGTGAAAGAGAGTGAGCCCTGAGCCCGAGGAGCTATGCATCAATCATGAGCCAAGTGTAAATTCTTAAATAAAGTGAACACTTAAACAACACATTAAGTGTTTCCTTTATTTTTTTGAGCAGTATATAAACTCTGTCTATCACGAAATGTCTTGAAAAGACTTTGGTGCATGGATTTACTTTAGACATCATCAGTCAACAAAAATTTGTGATTAGACTTTCATTTGTTCATTTGTATGATGAATCTAAGTCTTATGAGCTTGGTACAACAAACACTGGCAGTTTTCATTTTGAGATGAACTAAGTTTTGCCAAAAATAAGTAGTAATAGACTAAAATAAATAGATTATAATCTTACCCATCAGCAGTTTTTCTTCAATGAGTGGAAGGAACCATTTGGCTTCTGAGTTCTGGGGCTCATAAATTAAAACTGAATTGATGAAAACATCAGTATCAAGACAGGGTTTGAGAAAAGACCATTTTAATAGATAAATTAATAAACAAGTAATTCAAATGTCTACTTACTCATCTGACAAAGCTTCTTTGCAAGTTGGTAATTCTTTATCATCACAGCCTGTAGAAACTGGAGTTAGAAAATAAATCTAGTTGTAACCTGCCATTGTTTGGTATATGAAAAATATTGTTGGCTCAATAATACATTTATTTATTCATCTATTTATTTTTGTCTTTTGGTCATTTTGGATATACAGTTGAAGTCAAAATGATTCACCTACCTGTGAATAATTTTTTCCCAAATGATGTTTAACAGAGTAAGGATTTTTTCACAGTATTTCCTATACAATTTTTTCTTCTGGAGAAACTTATTTGTTTTATTTTGGCGAGAATAAAAGCATTTTTTTATTTTCTTAAAACCATTTTAAGGTCAAAATTATTAGCCCCCTTAAGCTATATATTTTTTCGATTGTCTACAGAACAAACCATCGTTATACAACGATTTGCCTGATTACCCTAACTTGCCTAATTATAGTTAAGCTTTTAAATGTCACTTTAAGCTGAATACTAGTATCTTGAAAAATATCTAGTCAAATAATATGTGCTGTCATCATGCCAAAGATAAAATAAATCAGTTATTAGAAATGAGTTATGTTTAGAAATGTGTTAAAAAAAATCAGTAACACTTTCTTTTGATAGTCCATTGAGTATTAGTAGACTGCCTGTTGATACTGCTCCATCAACACATCTGACATCAACATACAACACACAACTGACCATAAGAAACTTTGCAAGTACATGTCAACTTACACTATTTTCAACTGTCATGTACGCACCATGGCGTGGTGCTGAGTGGAGCATTCGGTGTGTGACGCCCTTGCAGGCCCGGAGTGGGACTCCTTTTTAGCCCTGGAGTTTCAAGCCTTACACCCGCCCACATCAGTTCCCGACTGACTATATTAAAATAAGTCAATTTCCAATTCAGTTTGTAATGACACTATCAAGTCTTTTTCAAGGAAACAGCTGCTTTAGAACTTCATATGTTTTTCATAAATATGTCGGTGCTAAATCTCTATTCTTTAAAACACTTTTCTTTTAAACATCACCATGTCTTTCCTGCAATATCTTTTCTAACGGTGGCCACGCAAAAAATGAAAATAAGATATTTACACCTACATAAGTAACCCAAACAGTATTATACACCTTAACACTAAAAAAATAATAATTATTAATATTAAGTTGAGGTTCGAACTCAGATTGACGGTGTCGTAACGCAACGTGCTGACCAACAGACCACAATGACGCTGTTTTAATTGAAACTAAAAATACAGTCGATTTCTTCCCTTTTTAGATTTTGATCAAGTTATGTCAGATTTATTATGTAGTGAATCCTCTGATTTTCATTGAGCAGGTGTAATATTCATTAATATTAATTCTTCTAATTCTTATATTCCCTAAGGTGACGCTGTCATCATTAACCTGCAGGCAGCATTTTGCTCACAGGGCTGCGAGAAAATAAATAAAAAGAGCAAAGCTGCGGCAAAATAATGAATAAAAAGAGGGAGGCTACAGTCAAATAAATAAAAAAATGAAAAAAGTGCGAGTGCTGAGAGTGCAAGCAGCCAGAGACACCAGCCCTCGCGGCCAAAAAAACGGACCGGCCCATCGGGAATTCTACCGGTCCTATTGATTAGCCAATCCGGGCCTGCGCCCTTGACCCTAATCCCAGTCTATTTATAATCTAATGAGAATTAGTTGGCATGTAGATGCAATGTAATTCAAAATCAACAAACTGACCCTTAAAATAAAGTGTGACCAAAAAACCATTTAACAGAATTTGGGGAAAAATATACAGGGGGGCTAATAATTCTAGAGGGCTAATATTTCTGACTACAACTGTAAGTGTTGCTAAATGTATAAATATTAATGATATGTCCCACTGCTTTACCTCTGCAAAGAGTTCTAGCGGTACAAGTCCTTCATCGCTCTCATTTTCCTCCTCATCATGTTGTGCCTCAGGAGATTCCTTGTCATTTGCGGACAGCACTTCTCCAGGGGCCTGAGTGTGCAGTTCATGCACACTTTCTGACTGAACTTCACATTCTTCTTGCTTTTCCAGTGCTTACATTAAAAAAAATAAAATAATTTTTTTGGTCTGTAGGATTTCAAAAGAATCGCAAAATGCTTGACGAATTAGACTGAACTAAATGTGTTAAAAAGACTAAAGGAGAAAACAGATTCAGTACCTGTCATAATCGAGGGAACCTGTTTGGGTGGTTTATGTCCATGCGTGGTTACATTTCTGAAGGACGGAGCTTTAGAGGCATTATACCCTCTGCTGCTGAAAAAATGGGTGATAAAAGGTAAACTATTAGAGATCACTGGAGCGAATGAATGCCATCAGCTTCCCTGCTTTATGCATGTACGGCCCATAAACCACATCCCATGCATGACCCAAAGAGCACGTCGACTGGAATACAAAAACCACTCGTAGACTCAAATTAAAAATGTGCTTGTTTTCATATTCCGTTCTGTATTGGGAATCTAGTCCGATGATCTAGTAAAAAACAAGTGTTGCTTTTAGTTCAAGCGCTCATATTATGTCATCCTAAAAGATTCCTAAGTTTGTTTTCTAAGTTTTCTATTAGGTTTACATCACATCTGTTCTCACAGTGTCTGAAATGGTTAATTTGAGAATCTGGTATAGATCCTGCTTTTCCAATAGCCTGCTCTGCTTTGATTGGTCAGCTGATTTTCAGTCTGTTGTCATTGATCTACTGCTTACAGCATATGTCAGAAACGAAACCTTCATTACAGAATTTTAGCTGTTCATTAGCACAGATTTTGTGGATTGTCCTTTAGAGCAGTGGTTCCCAAAGTGGGGGTCGTGGGACAATGACTTGGTGATTTCTAAAAGTCAAATATTTTTTTTAAACTATTAGAATTACCACATTTCATCCATAACCCACAGAAGATGAAAATAGTAGTCAATAGTTACATTTAAAAAGCAACAACATGCCAATAAGACGCCATCAACCTTTCAATTGTTTTCATAGGAATGGTGTGTTTACATTAACAACACAGCAGTAGCGTCAGCCACAGCAGATTGATTTTATAACACTAGGGTTAACTTTCTAAGACCTTTATGGCAATCAAATAGATCAAAAATAAATGCAGGCAACTGAACATTGAGGATGATCTATAAGTGGTGGTCTCCAAAATTAATCCAAGAATAAACGTGTGCTGAAAACATTTAGTCTCATAAGGTGACGTTAATATTAAATGAAACAAATAAATAAATGACTAAGTTATAGCCTCTGCTTGTTAGATGGTTGCACTTATTTCTGTTGTCAGCATGCTCATGTTCATCTAGACCTATTATTGTGTGGGCATTGTTATTTTGGGGCTCGCAGGCTGAAAATTTTGGAAACCCCTGATTTAGACAACCTGACAACAAAAAAGATATTAAAACCATATCAATATCAGCCCATAAATGCTATTTTTAATGTTATTATTATCAGTTCAATAACAAAATTAAAGTAATATATTTAAATTGATAAATTGTTTATTAATTTGGTTGGTTAAACCACTTCACATGAATGATGCCTACCTTTTTTATTTTATTTATTTATGGTATTTCTTTATTTTAATGATTTTTTTTCAATGGCTTGGTTGCTTGATTTAGGCTTTTTAAAAATGTATTATGATTTTTAGGGGGTTTCACCTTTATTTGACAGGACAGTAGAGAGAATTGACAGGAAAGTGTGGGGAGCAGAGAGAGAGGGGAAGAATCAGCATAGGACCTCAAGGTGGGAATTGAACTTGGGTCGCAGTGAACACCGGAGTACATGTGTCAGTGAACTTTCCACTACGCCATTGACACCGACTCTGCATTTTTTGTTTTTGACTGGCAGTAAATGTTATTTATTCCAACGTGTTCATAGAAAATAATAGTTTATAAATAAATTTCAGAAAACATAAAAAAGAAGCTTTAAACATGAAATCAACTGTTACCAGTATGTGTTTGCCTTTTGTTTTTGCAATCATGCAAAAAAAGTACAAATTTTAATTTGCAGGGTGACTATTTGCACCCAGTGTCCTGGAAACCAACGCAAACGCAGGGAGAACAAGCAAACTCCACACAGAAACACCAACAGAGCTGAGCCGAGGTTCGAACCAGCGACCTTCTTGCTGTGAGGCGACAGCACTACCTACTGCACTACTGCGTCTCCTTCACACTGCTATTAGTAAGGTAAACAATTAAACATGCTAGTTAATCTATTGAAAGAAATGTGTTTGATTTGGTAATCTCACAGCAAAATCTGATCATTTGCTTACTCTTTTGGAGTGTCAATCCTTCTCTTGACATCAACCCGAGAGTTTCCATAGCAACTGCATATTAATATCCTTAACCACACCCCTCTTAATATTAGTTTACAATGAGAAAATTATGCAAAAACAAGCCCCGTCCCCCTACTCAATATACAATTTCAGTTGGAAGTCCATCAACAAACTGAAGTAAAAGCTTCAGCTAAGACTGTTCAGAATCCAGATCTTTTACATTCAACGAGCATTATTAGACACTAAATGAAGCATAATACTGTATCATAAAAAGCCAAACAGTGGCATTGGATTATTTTGTTCGGTTTTTACCTGTTAGAACTGTGTGCTTTGAGACTAGGATTTAATGTTTCTGACTTCTGGAAAGCATTTTGTTTTGTTGTTAAGGAAGAATCCATCCCATCTGTCTTTCCCTCAGGTTTTGGTTTCTGCTGCCTACACAAAACAAAACATCTGAATAACGGTTGATCTGTAAATCCAGCAATCCATTGACAGCTAAATGGGTGATTAATCAGTCTTATAAATGTCTGTTTTTACCTTGTGGAAGAGCTAAGTTTCATATTTGATGCTGTCTCAGAGGTTTGAGCAGGAGCCTGTCCTTCTGTCTTTTCATTTATTTTGAGTTTTGTTTGCCTAGAATCAAACCAAAACACTGAATACAATTGACACACACATAGTTTGTAAAGGAAATAATGCTTACTGTATACACTCTCGTAAAAATCCAGGCTTCCTTTATTAGTGGTCTGTATTCAAACAATGTAAAAAGCTAGTGACCTAGTAACACAGTTTTAAACCTACTTTGCTTTCCGTTCCACTGCTTCTTTTGCTGCTGGGTCTACAGAACAAAGCAGGTAATGTCATTCAACCTCTCAAAAAAATAAGAAGCCTTGAGGAAATCAGGGTAGACAGTCGTCATGTGTGTATAACTGCTAAACGATACTAAACAGTTGCTATAGCTGCATTGTATTTGCAAGTATAGATTATAATAATTAGATTATTGTACCTCCCAAGCTGGCACTCAAAAGCTTCAAGGGTGGAACTTCCTTTAGAAAAACAGGAAAAAATGTTACTGATTAAATAGTTATATAAACACATACACTCACAGTCCACTTAATTAGGTACACCAGTATAACTGCTAATAATTCAATATATTTTCTAATTAATTTCTAATCAGCCGTTCACATGGCAGCAACTCGATGCATTTAGGCATGTAGACATGGTCAAGACGATCTGCTGCAGTTTAAAGCAAGCATCAGAACGGGGAAGAAAGGGGATTTAAGTGACTTTGAACATGGCATGGTTGTTGGTGCCAGACGGCTGGTCTGAGGATTTCAGAAACTGAATGGTCCAATAAAGAGAAAATAACCAGTGAGCGGCAGTTCTGTGGGTGTAAATGCCTTATTGATGCCAGCGGTCAGAGGAGTATAGCCAGACTTGTTTCAGCTGATAGAAAGGCAACAGTAACTTAAATAACCAATTGTTACAGCCGAGGTTTGCAGAAGAGCATCTCTGAACACACAACACGTCAAACCTTGAGGCGGATGGGCTACAGCAGCAGAAGACCACACCGGGTGCCACTCCTGTCAGCTAAGATCAGGAAAATAAGGCTACAATTCGCACAGGCTCACCAAAACTGCACAATAGAAGATTGGAAAAACGTTGCCTGGTCTGACGAGTCTTGATTTCTGCTGCCACATTCGGATGGTCGGGTCAGAATTTGGCGTCAACAACATGAAAGCATGGATCCATCCTGCCTTGTACGGTTTAGGCTGGTGGTGGTGGTGTAATGGTGTGGGGGATATATCCTGTCAACACCACAGCATACAGTTCTGTTGCTGACCATCTCCGTCTCATTATGACCACGTTGTACCCATCTTCTGATGCCTACTTCCAGCAGGATAACACACCATGTCATAAAGCGTGAATCATCTTAGACTGGTTTCTTAAAAGTGACAATGAGTTCACTGTACTCAAATGGCCTCCACAGTCACCAGTTATCAATTCAATGGAGCACCTTTGGGATGTGGTGGATCTGCAGCAACTGCGTGATGCCATCATATCAATAAATACCAAAATCTCTGAGGAATATTTCCAGTACCTTGTTGAATCTATGCCACAAAGGATTAAGGCAGGTCTAAAAGCAAAAGCAGGTCCAACCCAGTTCTAGTAAGGTGTACCTAATAATGTGGCCGGTGAGTGTATAGTAATAATTAGTATCAGAAACAACTCTTTCGTCTAGCTCTTTCGTGAAGCAAAAAAATAAAAAAAATAAAATACTATTAATAAGCATAAATGACCTACATATGCAAACTGACCTTTTCACTGAGCTTTGATGAGACTTCTGAGGGTCTTCCGACACACTGTAACCTTAATAATAAAATGGTAAATAAATGCAGACATTGTTCAGAACTTAATTAAACTGATATTCCTATCAATTTAAACCACATTTGTGACCATAAATAGATAGTTTAGGTCGACTGTACGGGCTCTAATGTTATTTTAACTCATATTTATAGGCTAACTATACGACTTGGGGGCAATTAGATCAGTCTGAAGTCTTCATGCCTTGCCTGTAACTCAAGTCTCTGCTGAATTTTTTAAGCCTCGATCACTATCACAGCCACATTCAGCAACATTTACAGTTAACGAAGAAAGGTAGCCACGTATTAGGAACAAAACAGATATAAACGGTTTGTTAGATAATGTAGAAAACATAAGTTTAACGTTAGCAAAAGACATAACTTAGGCTAATACATTAAACCGTCGTGTGTAAAGTGTCGCTTGTTCTTACCTGTTCATCTGTGCGATGTGTCTAACTTTATTCTCATATATATATATCGTCTGTATTTAGAAGACGAAAGGGTACTTTTATTAAATAGTGCCTACACTAGCACATTTCTGAAGTTTCGTTCGACTTTCTGAAGCGCTGTTGTAGTTTGAGAGAGCACTGGAAGGTTGCAGGACAAGCGTGCTGTTTCCATAACTACAGGCGTCACCCTCAAATAATCCGAGGGCAAACGTGTGTCTTCCGGAACCAATGTTTAACTTGACGACGTCCAAAATTGCTTTATGAAGTGCTTCATTAACGTTTGTGAAAAAATCACGTTTAATCGCCAATGAGTCTGACACCTGTTTGTTATGTTATATTGTATGTAGGGGCTGTAGTGTATGTAGTGGGTAGCGCTGTCGCCTAACAGCAAGAAGGTCGCTGGTTCGAACCTCAGCTGGGTGAGTTGGTGGTGTTCGCGTGGGTCCCGTGTTCGCGTAGGTTTCCTCCGGGTGGTTTCCACCACAAGTCCAAAAAACATGCGCTATAGGGGAACATGCTAACTTGTCCGTAGTGTATGAGTGTGAATGAGTGTGTATGGATGTTTCCCAGTGATGGGTTGCAGCTGGAAGGACATCCGCTGTGTAAAACATATGCTGAATAAGTTGTCGGTTCATTCCGCTGTGGCAACCCCAGATTCATAAAGGGACTAAACTGAAAATAAAATGAATGAATGAAAACCGTCAATCCTTGACTTCCAGGAAAAGCAAATATATGCAAGTCAATGGTCAGTTATATGTTTTCGGCCTTTTTCAATATATCTTCTTTTGTGTTCAACAGAAAAAAGAAACTTAAACAGACTTATGACAAATGAAGGGTGAGAGTAAATGATGAAAAAAGCAAACAGATCTTAAAAAAACATTCGTAAATGTTCCAGTAATGTCAAAGCTTCTTTACCCAAATGCCAAAAAGACAGTATATATATATATATATATATATATATATATATATATATATATATATATATATATATATATATATATATATATATATATATATATAACAGATTTTTATTGATGTGATCCAGCATGAAAAACATTGTTCATCCTCATCAAGTGCATCTTTAAGCGTTTGGCCAGGTGGTTTTAGGACAATTTTGATGAAAGTTAATGATCTACTTTAAATGTTGACTATATACTGTATATTTGCATAGAGATGGCAACTTGACCACATCTGAAGGCGTTAGAAAAATCTTAAATATAAAAGTACTTATGAACAAACCATGTTGGAACTTTAATCCACTTTACTGAAAATCAGGCCTAAATAAATACTCTAAAACAAAAGGGTCTAAGGGAGTGCCAGAAGAATCATTACTGGTTCCCCAAAGATTATTTCTTAAATGAATGCACGTTTTTGAATTCTGAATAGTGATTTTTGTATTGTGTTTATCAAATTTTTTTTCCAGAAATGTCAAAGACTTAACACAAAAACATATATGACAGATATGTGCAGTTAAAGTCAGAATTATTAGCCCCCCTGAATTATTAGCTACCCTGTTAATGTTTTCTCCCAGTTTCTGTTTAACGGCAAGAAGATTTCTTCAATAAATTTCTAAGCATAATAGTTTTAATAACTCATCTCTGATAACTAATTTATTTTATCTTTGCCATGATGACAGTAAATAATATTTGACTAGAAATTTCTCAAGACACTTTTATTATTTAGGTTAACTAGGCAGGTTAGGGTAATTAGGCATGTTATTGTATAATGATGGTTTGTTCTGTAGACCATCGAAAAACATTTAGCTTAAAGGGGCTAATAATTTTGTCCTTAAAATGTTAAAAAAACTACTTTTATTCTAACCGAAATAAAACAAATAAGACTTTCTTTAGAAGAAAAAAAATAATATCAGACATGCTGTGAAAATGTCCTTGCTCTGTTGAACATCATTTGGGAAATATTTAAAAAAACCAAAAAATAAAAAGGGGGCTAATAACTCTGACTTGAACTGTACATAATTTTTTTATTTTTATTTTTTACACTGTAAAAAATATCTGTTAATTAACAGTTTCCGAATTTTGTGTTTTCCGTTTATTTACAATTGTGAATTGCATTATGGCATTATGATCTCTGCTCTTTTAAAGTTGAAAATGCAACTATACAGTTTAACAAAATGACTTTTATTGACAATTTAGTAGTTTGAAACAATGTAAATGTATAATTAATAATAAATACAGAAATAACTCTGTAAAATAACAGAAAAAATGTAGGCCTACTGGCAAGTTGTTTGTACTGTAACATAAAACATCAACCCAGAAAATAGGACTCTATCACTTTAAACTATTAAAATGTTAATTAAAGTAAATTTTTGAAATAAATTTTCAATGTTTAAAGTTGTTAAAAGAAAGAACAACCCTCGATTGGGAGGGGATTTCCCCAGGATTTACGCCCATGGCATCATGGATGTGAAGCTGACAAATCTCCAGCAACTGCGTGATGCCATCATGTCAATAAATACCCAAATCTCTGAGGAATATTTCCAGTACCTTGTTGAATCTATGCCACAAAGGATTAAGGCAGGTCTTAAAGCAAAAGCAGGTCCAACCCAGTACTAGTAAAGTGTACCTTATAATGTGGCCGGTGAGTGTATAGTAATAATTAGTATCAGAAATAACTCTTTCGTCTCGTGAAGCAAAAAAAAAAAAAAAAAAAAAAAAAAAAAAAAAATATATATATATATATATATATATATATATATATATATATATATATATATATATATATATATATATATATATATATATATATATATACTATTAATAAGCATAAATGACCTACATGTGCAAACTGACTTTTTCACTGGGTTTTGATGAGACTTCTGAGGGTCTTCCGACACACTGTAATCTTAATAATAAAATGGCATTATGGCATTATGATCTCTGCTCTTTTAAAGTTGAAAATGCAACTATACAGTTTAACAAAGCGACTTTTATTGACAATTTAGTAGTTTGAAACAATGTAAATGTATAATTAATAATAAATACAGAAATAACTCTGTAAAATAACAGAAAATGTAGGCCTACTGGCAAGTTGTTTGTACTGTAACATAAAACACCAACCCAGAAAATAGGACTCTATCACTTTAAACTATTAAAAATGTTAATTAAAGTCAATTTTTAAAAGTACATTTTCAATGTTTAAAGTTGTTGAAAGAAAGAACAAGATTCCATAATAGAGTTCAAAAGCATAAATAAAAGGAGAAAACTAAAAACGTGAACCACAGATTTCATTCACAGCCTATTTATTTTAAAGCTCATACGACAACATCCAGTAAATGGTTACAGAAGTATATTTAAGATGCAAGAGTTTTGTTGATGTGATCCAGCATGGGAAAAAGCCCTCTGTTCTTCCTCATCAGGTGTGTCTTCAGGTGTTTGGCCAGGTGGTCACTGCGCATGAAGCGCTTGGAGCAGTCCGGGCAGGTGAATCGCTTTTCCCCGGTGTGTGTGCGCAGGTGTCGCTGGAGCTCATCCGAGCGCGTGAAACTTTTCCCGCAAAACATCCAGCTGCAGATGAAGGGCCTCTCCCCCGCGTGCCATCTCAGGTGCGCCTTCAGGTGAGATGTCTTTCCGTACACCTTCGCGCAGCCTGGTATGTGGCAGGCGTGCTGCTTTCTCCTGCCCGGCGTGTCGGCGTTTTTCTGGCAATTAGGACACATGCATCTCCGGCTTTGTCGTGACTTTGAGTTCAGCAGGATTTGGGACTGATAGTGGCCAAACTCTGGCTGACCCAAAATCCACCCACGTGTGAGCTGAAAATGCGCCGAGGAGTGATTGGCGGAGCTCCACCATTGGATGTCATCCCGTGCCAAATGTCTCTGCGCGTGCACGAGTCCGGTGTGTGTGGGTACGCAGGTTGAAATACATGAGGATGGGCAAGGCAACATCTTCAGGGGTGAACAGTCAAAGTGTTCGGTCAGTGGCATGTCCTGGTGTAAAGGAGGAATAGAGAAGGTTGATTGGGATAGATGAGTGGAGTCAGTACTTCTCCAGGGATGGAAGAGTTTATTTGGGGAAGCATATGGGATGTAGGACTCCATGGATTGGGATGCACGGCCAATGCGATTACAGGTGTCTTCCAGCAACATCAAGGGAGATGATTTGATGGATTCTGGAGTTGAGCTTGATGTTCGATCCTGAAATAAAACATAATCAATGCGTAAAATGTCTTACTCTGCAAGGTGGTGACCTGCAAACCTTATACCCAAAATCAAAGCTATAAATATTCTGGGTTGTTTTAACCGAATGTTGGGTGGGTCAAATATTGGAAAACCTACACTTAACATTGGGTTTTTCAGACTAAAGTGTTTCAGGAATTTCAATACAAAAGGAAAAAATGGCTTTTGTTTTGTTTTTGTTACATTAATATTGGATTAATATTTACATTTAGTCATTTAGCAGACGCTTTTATCCAAAGCGACTTACAAATAAGGACAAGGAAGCAATTTACACAACTATAAGAGCAACAATGAATAAGTGCTGTAGTCGAGTTTCAGGTGTGTAAAGTCTAAGAAGGAAAGCATTAGTAATTTATAATTTTTTTGTAGTTAGTTGAGGAGTCAGAGAGGTAGTTGCATATTAGTAAGGGAAGTGGAGACTAAATATTTGAGTTTTTAGTCGTTTCTTGAAGACAGCGAGTGACTCTGCCGTTCTGATGCAGTTAGGGAGTTCATTCCACCAACTGGTGAGATTGAGCGCGAGCGTTCGGGAAATCGTTTTCTTCCCTCTTTGGGATGGAACCAAGAGGCGACCTTCATTCACAGAACGCAAGTTTCTGGAGGGCCAATAGATCTGCAGAAGTGAGAGCAGATAAGAAGGGGAGCAGCCAGAAGTCGCTTTGTAAGCAAAAATCATTGCTTTAAATTTGATGCGAGCAGCAACTGGCAGCCAGTGCAAACGGATGAGCAGCGGAGTGACATGTGCTCTTTTAGGTTCGATTAAAGACCACTTGTGCTGCTGCATTCTGAAGCATCTGAAGAGGTTTGATAGAGTTAGCTGGAAGCCCGGCTAGTAGAGAGTTGCAATAGTCTAGTCTGGAAAGAACAAGAGCTTGAACAAGGAGTTGAGCTGCATGTTCAGATAGGAAGGGTCGAATCTTTCTGATCCCTTTACAGCCATATCCTGTACTGTTTTGTTGTCTGAGTGGCAGCCGTTTCAAACTAAAATGGTCCGGTGGTCAACTACAGTGGATATGCCAACACAATCTCACGGCAATTCGTAACTTTTTCATTTAGTGGCTAATTCATATGAATTCGTACGATCTAATTTGTACAATTTAGTACGATTTGCTTATCCCCCAATGACGGTTGGGGTTAGGGGTGGGGTCAGGTGGGGCCACGCCTCCTTTTTAAAATCGTACCATTTCGTACGACTGAACTCGTACGAATTCGTACGAATTAGCCACTAAACTGGCAAAACGTAAAATACTTATGTTTTCTCGTGAGATCAGGCTGGATATGCTGTAAAATTAAAAATAAAAACAAAATGTAAAAACTCTAAATTGTGGATTTTTTTTAACCCAAAGGATGCAAGAAATCACAGAAAAAACAAACAAACATTTTCTTTGGGTCTCAGGACTATAGTAGGCTAGTTGGCCTATTGAAATGAATAAGTTTACTTGATTCTTTACTGAAACTGAACCTGACTATCAGAAACATTTAGAAACATTTAGCCAATTTTCATTTTTATTATAGGCTTATTTTAATGTCTTAATATTCAAAATAGTTAAAATTAATTACAAAAGGTGTTTGTTTACTGTTGCTCTGTTTCTTTAAAACATTCAATTGATTAAAACCTTCCGAACTCTTTTAAATAGCCTACACTATAAAAAATTATATGAACAATTAGTGCTGACAGCATGTTTTTAGTTCATTGTAACTTATTAAACATGTTAATCACGTTCTAACTTCATTTTATCAGTTATGCAAGCAGTTTTAAGTCAGTTTCACATAGTAATATAAGTTCAATGGACTTAAAAGGTTAATTTGATTTAGCTTAAAAATGTAAGGCAACCAGGATTTTTTTTACAGTGTAGATAATTACAAAAAAATAAATAAACATTACAGCATCATTATAACAAACATACCAAAAATGTGAAAACTTGACTCAAAGTTTAATCAGCTTTTAGTAATTCATCGCTCAAAACCACATCAAATCCAACTCCTGAAATTACAAGTTAGCAAAGTTTATGTCAGAGATTGGCTGGTCTTTACGCACCTGAAGGAAAGCCTGCAGTGGGTCATGGTGCATTATGAGGGTCTGTCGATCCTTTAGTTCCCAAAAGAGAGGTAACTTGCGCCTCTTGAATCGCGGGAGAATGTTGGAGTAAAGTGAACACACGGGAGTTTGATCAGAACTCCAGCCAGTCAGAATGAAGAGTTGTGCCTTTGAAGATTACCGCTGTCCAATCATCAAAGCAGAACGAACAGCTCAAATCCGTCGAGTGTTTGCAGCTCTGGATCATAAAAGAACTGGTTATTTTTGAGGGGGGTGATTTTGGGGAGAGATGAAGGATGCAATTAATGAATTATTGCATCTGGATTAAGTGAAAGGATCAAAGAAGTATTACAAAGTGTGTTTGTCACTAAAGATATATTTGCAACATTTAAAACAGCAATTGTGGTTTAGGTCTTTTATGAAAATGTATTTTTTGTCTCTGGATACTGCATAATTAAATTAATAAGTTGCAATTATACATTCATTTATTGCAGTCAAACAATGGAAAGGCAACCACTTTACATTTTAAATTAAACATACAAGTTCCAGGGATGAGGAAAATTAGCTTTTAAACAAACAAACAAAAATATATGAACATAAAACTACTGCTTGCCTATATATTACAATAATTAATTATGATTTATGCCCTGCATGTATATCTTTATCTATCAAGTTTAAACATTTTTTAAATTAAATATAATTTACAAATATTAATATATAACATAAATAATAATATACTTGGGCCATTTTTATTAATAATAAAATATGAATAAACAATTAAACTAAAGACAAAAACATAAAAATTAAGTAAATAATGCAATCACCCCCTCCCTAATAAATAAAAATATATGTAAAACATAAAAAACTAAACTTAAACTATAAAACAGTTCATTTTAAATTAATATAAAAATTATTAATTATTAATTATCTTATTATCAAGCTGTTATTGCTACTAACTTTCATTTAGTTGATTTTAACGCTAAAATATTTTACAAAGCTTATTTCTAAAAATATTTAAGCATTAAATTAAACTGAATATACCACATACACACACACACACACACACACACACACACACACACACACACACACACACACACACACACACACACACACACACACACACATATCAATATATGTAAATAATTTAAATTGAAAGCATAAAATGTAAATAAATAAACTATTAATAACAACTACAAAAGCCTATCAACAATGATACTAAAATACCACAGGTACTGGATTGAACATATTTCTGAAATTCTAGAAATTTTAAATCATGATAAAATCTTTCAGTCTAATACACATTGCAGACAATACTTGTAGTGACTCTATTTTTTATTTAATTCTTAGCATTGACTTTAAAGCATATTAAAAAAAAATGTAGCATTAAATTAAACAATGTGCTACAAATATGTACTATATTTAAACTGAAAGTAGAACATGTAAAAAAACACCTATTAATAAAAACTAAAATAAAATAAAAGCTAATAAAAACTAAAATAAAATTCTTTAATTAATTAATAAATTTCTCAAAAAAATAAAAATTGTCTCATAATTCTGGCATTTAGCAAATGTAAATCATTTAGGTAATCCTCATGGACCTAAAATAGTAAACGTTTAGTATGATTTACCATTAAACATTAAAAAAAAAAAGGTTATAATGCTTTTTTTAGAGTGTGTGCAAACTCTTGGTTTCAACTGTAGGTATAAGTTATAAAGTGCAATTATAGCAAAACTATGGGTGGTATTTACAGATGGATGTACTATGAACATTATATACAGGTTGAATTAACTATGTACAGAGATTAACAATGATATTAAAACTACACTGGTATTGGACTGAACATGTTTCTGAAGTTCTATAAATTATAAATCATAATAAAATCTGTCAGTCTGATGTACAGTGCTCAATTCAATTCATCTTTATTTCTATAACTCTTTTACTATGTGGATTGTGTCAAAGGAGCTCCACACAGAAGATTATAGTAAATTGAAACAGTGTCAGTTCAGCTTTCAGAGTTGAAGTTCAGTTTAGTTCAGTTCAGTGTGGTTTAATTTTGTGCTCAGCATAATTGAGTACATCCCATTTTGATAATTAATATTTTTATTAATTTCTCAGTGAATATAGGCAATGTATTTTTGCGCATTTAAACAAAACACATTTATTAAACAGATATATTTATTAAAACAATATTTTAGTCACTAAACATATTTAGAAATTGAAAGATAATACAATTAAATTCAAGCTAAATATTGGAGAAATTAAAATTTCAAGCTACAAAATTTCAACAAAATTTTTCCATTTCTTTGCTTCTCTTGATTTTTCCTCTTTTTAAAATTTGCATTTAATATTTTTCTATAACATATAAATTTGGCTTTTCTAGTTTTTGGACCATTATCTTAAGTTATTTTTGTTAAATAAGCTCCAGATTTGGCTTCAGTACTGACTAATCTAATGTATATGCACAAATACAATATTGTATAGCTTCCTATTATTAATATGAATTTAAAAGACAGATTTGTGACGGGGTGTACTTATATGTTGAGCACTGCACATTGCAGACAATACTTGTAAAAAAAAAGTCTGTATTTTAAATTGAATTCTTAGCATTGACACTAACATTTGCCCCAATTTTAAAGTGAAATGACGCTACAGCACTTTAAAAAGCACAGCATGGAGACCTTTGAGCATTAAGGATCTGCGTGTGGGACGCTCAGGCCATTGAAAACCTCTTGAAGAGCTTACAACTACAGCAACATCTGTGGCTTTTCCACAACAAAGCACAACTCTGTTTCTTTACCGCACACAGCTTTGAAGTCGCACGGAAACAGAAAGCAGCCATTGTTCCCTCAGGCCTACATGAAGGCCCTCCAACTTGGGTCTCTTTAATTTAAAAGTTTCCCTCAGTAATGTGATCGTTCTCTCCTGTTTCCCTTGGTGAACCTTTGAGGTGAAGCCTGGTTTTGTCTTTTAAAGCAAGAGTTCTGGCACAGAGTTGTGGAGGAGTTTAGCGGTGGGTCATGAACCTGCTTATGCATGTGTGTGTGTGTGTTTCGCTTGTTCTGCTGTAAAACAATATCTGTGAATTAACAGTTTCGGTATTGTTTTCTGTTTATTTATGGTTGTGAATTGCATATGGCATGTTGATCTCTGCTTTGTTGACTTTTGATGTTGAATGTTCAACTCTACAGTTTAACAAAGTGACTTTTTATTGACACTTTAGTAGTTTGAAATGATGTAATGTATAAGAAATAATATATAAGCTCACACTGAAAAAGTTCCCCTATATACATTTTTGGAGAGCGTCAAATACGTCCCAGGAGCTACTTTTTTTATTTTTTTTTCTTGCAGTTTTCGCGAATCCACCAGAGGACGCTGTGTACTCTTTTTGAAATCCCAAATATCTCTTGCAAGTGTAATTTGTGCCTGCTGTTCTCACGTAAATCCACCAGAGGCCACTGTTGACTGACTGACTGACCGATCCACCCTCCTCCTTCCCTAAACCCAACCGACAGTGTTTTCAAAAGCAATCCAGAAAAAGAAAAGTCCTCGGCTGATTTTTACCACGTTTTCAGGTTTTACCACATTCTCACCCTGTTATTGTCTAGTTTATTATTTTTTTGTCTTTCCTGCTTTCTGGGACCGTTCTTCACCTGACTTGAACCCTGTCATCGTGGTCAACTCCTCTCTGCCTTTCAAGTCCGCCAACGTAAATGGCAGGCAAACTGGTAACAGTGGGAAAGACCCATTTCCAGTGAGCGTCAGTTCTGTGGGCACAAATGCCTTGTTGATGCCTTGATGACTCGATTTCTACTGCCACATTTGGATGGTCGGGTCAGAATAAGGTGTCAACAATATGAAAGCATGGATCCATCCTGCCTTGTATCAACGGTTCAGGTTGGTGGTGGTGGTGTAATAGTGTAAGGGAGATTTTCTTGGCACACTTTGGGCCCACTAGTACCACTTGAGCATCGTGTCAATGCCACAGCCATCGTGATTATTGTTACAGACCATGTCCATCCCTTTATGACCAGTGTACCCATCTTCTGATAGCTACTTCCAGCAGGATAACACCATGTCATAAAGCGTGAATCATCTCAGACTGGTTTCTTGAACATGACAATGAGTTCACTGTACTCAAATGGCCTCCACAGTCACATGATCTCATATCATGTCAATATGGAGCGAAATCCCTGAGGAATAATTCCAGTACCTTGTTAAATCTATGCCACGAAGGATTAAGGCAGGTCTGAAGGCAAAAGGGGGTCCAAAACGGTACTAGTAAGGTGTACCTAATAAAGTGGCCGATTAGTGTATATTAAAACAACAACAAAAACATGGTAATATTCCACATATGCCAAGACTGTAATACACACTTGAGTTTGTGTGCTTGGGTTGATTATGATGATGACGACCCCCTCAGCAGTCTTTATGATTTGACCAGCTAATATAGTTTACTTAGCACAAATAAAAACTGCTTAATAAAAGAATGAATTGTCTTCCCAAGGTAAACTAAATCTCTTTTTTGGACTCAAAAGTGACCTGAATGCTTGATTGAATGATCTGGACTGGAAGTCGAGGACAGCAGAACGCCCTCGGTCCTTCTGGTTGATGTTGCAAAATATGTTTAATCTGTAAAGCTGTAAAATCCTGGATTTCAATGCTAGCTCATAATCATCCAGCGTTCTACTTTACAATTCAGCTTTTGGACAACTCTTGGGCTGTTTGACCAGAGATGGTGACTTAAATATCTGGCTTAGAGAAACCAACTTAAACCGAGATGAAAGAAGCCCCAGTCTTTGTCATTTAGGGAAATCTTCTTAGCATCACAGCGACATGTTAGCATGATCCAGTGGTTTTATCGTCATGCAGGCACTGTCAGATTTGCACACAGGTAATCTTCTGGTTACACATACTAAAGCGTCACGTTCTTCTGAATGTCCCTCACCTGTCTGTGAGATATGAGGATATTCTCTGTCGTTTTCCTGCAAGATGTTCTTTAGTTCTGTTGCCATCAGCGTCTCTTTTTGACAAGAAGTGCAGATGCTGGTGCATGAGTTTTATCAGCCTCTGAATGCTGAAGTAAATCTGCAAGCGAATGTGTTTAAACCAGCTAAAAATAAACATCGATTAAGATTCCTTCAAAGTTTAAGAGTTACTTGGTTTTCAGCTATGCACAAATGAAATGATTTGGTTCAGAGCAGTGAGCTGTGAGTTTTAAAGAAAATGTGCAGTCT